GATTAATTCTTCTTTTGTATTTCCTTAGTTTAGTATTTTTAGCTTTTAGTTTATTTATTTACCAATAAATCTTTATTTGATTTACTTGAAATATTTTGTGATACTTTGTATTTGTAATGTAATTCACGTTTAATTTTGACTTAACATTTGAAAATATACTTGATAGTGTATTGAATACATTGGGCAGTATATAGTGAATGAATCATACATTCATCATAGGTTTGAATATATTTTTTAATATATAATAGAATTTAACTAACTGAGGTGTAAATATACTTTACGATATATAAAAGAACTATTAACTTACTGATATAACTATTAGATTACTACGTAAACTTAAAGAATCACTACTTGAATACTCTGTCTAACTATTGTAATTTGTAAGGATTGTATGTTAATAGTACCTATTCTCTTGATATCAAATGATACACAAATGCTAATTGCTGTGAACCACCCAAAGCCAAAGAAGCTATGGAGTTTTTTCACCTGTATAATAGCTTCTTACCACTAATTACCAAAGCCAAAAATGACTGATTCATAAATCTAATTCATCTTCTTTAGTATAGAGATCTCCTGAAAGTATTAGGTTATAATACATATTGTGCGTTTATTGAAAAAAATACATACTTACAACTTTGCTATTCTATTTATCAGAAATATTTTCTGACTCTCACATTCTTAATGAATTATAAATGACTAATGTATCCTACTACCTGAGAACAGCCTAAAAGATAATAAAATTCAACTTTTGACAATTTTTCTCTTCTTCCATTTCAACAAAAAAGGTTGTATGATGAAATGGAACTTGAACTAAAGGCTTATAACTCAGATGGAGAACGAGTATGTTTTATAAAAGATGTATTTAAACGTATGCGTATTGCATAAATTTAAATGTATGTGTATTGCTATGTTGCTATATCAATCTATAATAAATATATGCTTAACAAGCCACTTTATCAAATAATTATCATGTGATTAATATTAACATCATGTAATTATTATATTATGTGTAACCTAAGATCTGCTTTATCTTTTCCACCTCCTAAAATATTAGGTAATATCTGATAGCGCTCTAAACAATTATTAATATATTTAACTAATTCTGTAATAATGATTTTATTATAAAAAATTCTTTTTATTTTTCTTTCTTATTTTATAAAACTTTAAATAAGTCAGATCAAGTTAAATAAAAATCTGATTTAAATTTCCATTTGAATTAACTTAATCTAACCTGATTAAATTATTTAAGAAAAATAGTTTATTATCATTTTAATTGAATAATTTATTATTATTTTTTTAAACACAGTTAATCTTCTCTAAATGCATTCTCTCTAAATATACATATTATATATTTTTTTTCTAAATGCATATTCTTATTTAGTTCCAAATATATAGAATTCATATAGAAAATTTCTTCTATAAATGCATACACTTTTTAAATATACATTTTTTAAAATTTTTTATTATAATCTTAAGGGGATACATTTAAAGAAAGAGTAAACTTTATTTTATTATTATTCAATTAAAATGAACTGTAACTATTTTTTTAAATAATTTATCATTATTCTAATTAAATGATTTGTTATTATTTAAAAAGAATAATTATTATTTTTTAATTATAATAATTTAATATTATTTAAATAATTATTATTCTAATTGAATAATTCATTATTATTTAAGAAAAATAATTATTATTTTTTTTTTTTAAATAATATATTATTATTCTAATTAAATAATTTTATCATTATTCTATTTAAGAAGAATAATTTATTATTGTTTAATTAAAATGATTTATTATTATTTAATTAGTAATAAACTATATTATCCTTTTTAAATAATGTGTTATTATTTAAAAAAAATAATTGATTAATCTAAATTTTATAAATCAGGTTAAGTCAGATAATAGATTGATCTGACTTAATATTTGAAAATTTACTGATCTGACCTGAATTTTTTAGTTCAGATCAAATAATAGATCAATCTAATCTGATTTAAAGTTCTAGCTAAATATAGATTTATATATAATTAGTTTTTTTAAAAGAGTAAAAATACAAAAAATATAATTATCAAAGAATATTAATATGTATTAAATATTTTAATTGCAAACTATATTTATAATACTATTAAAATTATAATTTATAAATTTAAAGATTATTATAAATTAATTAACATTTAATTTATTTTATTTATAATTAATTTATATATTAAATTTATAAATAAACTTTTTTAAAATCTAAAATTTATTATTAATTAAATTAATTAACAATTATTTATTTAAAAATGTTATTTTTTATTTTTTTTTTAGCAAAAAGTAATATATATTTATAATGTATTTATTTAATTCTAATAATTTTTTTTTAAAATTATATTTTTTTTTTTCTTTATTTTTAATAAATTTTACTTAAATTTAGAAAAAAAATATTTTTTTCTTTTTTAAAAAATAGATTTTTAAGTTTTTTTTTAGAATATAATTTTTATTTTTAATATAAGTGAACTATTAAAAAAAAAATTAGTTTTTAAAAGTTTAATATAAAGTGTAATACATTATTAATAATTTTTCAATATAAATAAATAATATATAAATGTTTTAACCTAAAGCTAAATTAAATTAATTGTTTATATTTTATATTCTATTTATCTACAAAGTCATTTGCTAAACCAAAAATGGTATTTCGTCATATGAATTTTAAATACAAAGCTCAAAAACGAAGTTGTATGTTAATGTTAAATCTACGTCATTGAGAAAGAGAAAAAACCGGCGTAATCACGTACGTGATATATGAGATATGAGATCATAAACCCCCTAGACATAAAAAGAATTTAACACGGGAGCTTTTTCGCATAAGTGCAATTTATAGTGAATCGCTTTTTTTTTTTTTTCTTCAATATATCTCCGTTACGTCCATTACTGTTTAATATAGGGTTCCGAGAACCCCATGAAGTCTGAGAAGACAGAGTAGTTTATTACTTAGTACAATCAAAAACCTCTATAGAACATTTTACATATATCCAACTAAACTTTAGCTGGTATTTGTAAATATTATATAAATTTAGATTTACCTTGAAAGTTATTTAAACTGGTTTGAAAGTACTCGATCAGATATCAATACTAACGTTTTTATTATTTAAAAATAGTATCCACCAGCAATGGGAAACTCAATAGGCAAAGATAAAGGAGAAGAAACTGTAGACGGAGGTCAACTAACGCCGCATGGAGTATATAAAGGAACACAAGATTGGGACTACAGGAGTGTCCGTAAACTCATCATAGAAAGAAAATTAGCACCTTTCTATAAAGGTTTACCAGACTATGACGAAGGTTGGAACGATGTCACATTAACGACCCATAATCTTCCAAAAAATGGTGAGGTCAATCAAACCGTTGCTTTTAGTAACGAAAGTATCTCACAAGGAAGTGGAGAAACTAAACGTTCGGCTACTTTAAATACCGTAGGCACAACTAAAGGTAAAGAGGTACCAACGTCCAAATCGTTAGAGGCTCAGCTATATAAAGGTGCTGTCGAATGCCCCATTTGTTTTTTGGTGAGTCGGCAATTATGATCGATCCCTTATTATTATTGAATTATACAAAAAAAAAATATTAAGAAATTTTAAATTTAGAAATATTTTTAATTCAAAATATTTTCATCTCTATTGTAATTAAAGATTTTAATACTATTATTATTTACTTATAATTTAAAATAATACACAGTATTATCCACGGAATATTAATTACTCTCGATGTTGTGATCAACCTATATGTACTGAATGTTTTGTTCAAATAAAACGACCTGAAAGTGGAACATTAAGCGCTAACAATTCTCCAGCTGTGTGTCCATTTTGTGTACAGCCTAATTTTGGTATATGTTATAAACCGCCTTCTTTCATTGCAGGAATCGGTAGTGAAAGTTCGGTATGTTACGATTTATCTTTTTTTTTTTTTTTTTAAAAAAAAAAAAAGGTTCACATAATAATATTTCATCTTATTACATTTTTTAAAGTCTTCTACATCTTCAAACACAAATAATTTAATTCCAACACCATCTTCAACTACCTCTCTTGATGGAAGGGCTCGAAGAAAAAGTGTTAGTCATAAAAACCCGGACGTTGTTACTACCGGTAATTTTTTTTATAAATAGTGGAAAATTTCCTTGATTTGATATAATGCTATATAAGAATTTTTTAAAAAAGTTTTTTATAATAATTTAATTTTAATCTTTAATTTTCTTATCAAGATCAAATTCGTCCAGATTGGGCAACGCGAGTACTGCAACCTCCTCGTCAACCTCCGAGTACTAGACGATCTTCTACCACTACTTCAGGAAACTCGAGGCGTATTCCGGCTCGTCATGGAGGAGGAGGAAGTTCCTACATGACTTCATCCACGACCAATCCTTCTCGACGCAATAACCAACCTGCTGGAGGCGATTATGGAGGATATTTAGCTGCAATGAGAATGGGTACAGATCTAGAAGAACTTATGGTCATGGAGGCAATCCGATTGAGTCTACTAGAACAAGATGAAAGAGAAAGAAGAGAGCGAGATGAAAGAGATCCGACTGAAAGAGCACAGGATGAAAATTCTAATAATATATCATCGTCTGATGGTTCTACAACAGGAACTATAACGTCACCTAATCTATCTAATTTGCTTGATGAAATTAATAGGATTGATAATAGCCTTTCTGAAGTTGAGATACTTACTTCAAGACAGGAGTTACTGGAAAATGCAGGTGGAGAAGATGGTAGTTCATCAATTTCTCATTCACATGATCATATATCAACTACTGTGTCAACACTAATAACATCAAGTGCAGAATACGACACTATAACAAGTGTGTCAGCTCCATCGTCAAGAGGTACAGGACCATCAACTCCAAGCTCAACAACAAATTCTACAAATGAGGCTATAATTACACCGTCCCCCCCTTCATCTCCACATATACACAATCATATACACGCGTCATACTTAACATCCACTACATCCACTATTCATATCAAATAATTCTCCCTATAATTAATTGACTATAAAAAACCATTAATAAAT